CACTAGGGGTAGCTGTTGTCTGAACGCCGGAGCGCTCCCCTCTCGCCGCTCGCCTCACCCGGCGCAGCCCTGGCCGCCGGGCGCACCCGTCCCGTTCGTCCCCGGACGTTGCTCTGGGCCCCAGGAACGTCGAGACTGGGGCGCCCGAACGCAGCCACCTTCGCGGACCTGAGCGCGGCGCCCGACTCACCGCGGAGGCGCCTGGACGCGTCAAGTGCGTACTTTCAACTGCGGATGTGCGCTGAGGATTTTAGGGGTGCGGGGCAACTTCCCAACTCTGCGGGGCCCCGGCCAGACTCGCCGCGGTGTCCGAGACTTTCAGATCTCTCGCGGATCCCCGCGCGGGGCGAGCGGCCCGGGCTGGGGGCGACAAGGCGGCGGGGCAGGGAGGCGCCTTGACCTGGGGTCTCCGAGGCCGCGGCCGAGTCCAGCTCCGTTAGCCACTGAGTCCGCCAGGACAGGACCCGGGACCGGGCGGCGGCTGCCGGTCCAGCGCCCGGGGCACTGAGTTGCCCAGAACCGCCCTCGCAATCGGGGCCTCGCCCGCTGGCGGGTCTGATTCGAAACTGCCGCTCCCGCAGCCAGCGCCCTGTCGTCGTGCGCCCCGGGGACCTGTCCGCTCAACTTTTTCTCAGGACTAGGACAGCGCTAGCTCTCGCCCTGGCCGAGGTGGGGAGGCCCGGCCCTGCAGGGCGCCGGCAGATGGATCGCTTTCAGCAGAGTCGGTGGGGGGGTCGTTCTCGGAGCAAAGGGCCTGGCACGCAGCCAGCCACCCCTGGGCAGTGTCTCCCCTCCCTGGGTTCGCAGCCTGGCAGGACTCTCTGCCCCTGATGCTCCACGGGGTCTGTGGCTCTATCAGGGTGAGTCCCCGATTGTGCGTGGAGGCCCCAGAGGCTGTCAGCACGGCCACTTGCCTTCCCTTCTCTTCTATCTGGGGCAGGGGCGCACACCTGGGAGCTTCTTACTCTTGGTAAAGTCGGCTGGGTCTCTCCAGCTCTCCTCAGTGCCCCCAAGCAGCCCCTCACCACGGGGGGGGGGGATCTTCGTGGACTAGGGAGCAGTCCCTGAGCCACGCCTGCTGGTAGGGGAGCCGCGCCCCCAGTTATCACATCATCTGGTCCTGGGGTTCTGGCCAGGGTGGCAGGAAGAGGAGAAGCCTCCTGCTGGCCAAGTCTTAGGAGCTGGGGGGGTTTCTCAGGCTACCCCCTCTGGGCTGGGGCAAAACAGTTTGGGGTTCTCACCTTCTGGGGTGATTCCTGATGTCTGGGGATGCAGTCTAGGCTTGTGTTCTTTCCCTTCCCCATGCACATGGAGTTGGAGCGGAGATGCGGGCAGTGTCCCCCCTCCACATGCAGGCTTGGGAAGTGCAGGAGCCACCTTGGGCTGGGAGGGGCCTTTTTGTGCTACTGGGGATGTGGTAGTGTACAAACACGTGCGTGTACAAACACACACGTGTATGTGCACGAATATGTGTGCTTTTGCTGTGTGTGGAAGACATGGTGCAGGGCAGAGGGGCATCTGGCCCCTCTGGTCCCCTTGTGGGAGCTGCAGACCATACTCCTTCCCTCCTGGGGACATCCATGAAGCAATGCTCCTCCTCTGGCTGTCCATGTCCTGGGACCTGCTGATAGGCTGATAGGCTGCACCCCTGCCTGGGCTCCCAGAATGCTAGACGAGGTGTCAGGCCTGCTGGCCCCACAGGTCCCTGTGTAGGTGAAGACGCCCAGGCTCCAGGTGACTGCCTTGGGATCTGGCTTGGATGGCGGCCCCAGGCACTCGCTACCCCCCCTTCTGTGTCTTGCTCCCTAGGTCTTTCTCCCACTGGCTGCTGCCCCTCCCAAGCTGGACAGCACCCCAAACTGTCTGTGGCCCTAACTGTCCTGTCTTGCCCCAGCTGTCCAGAGCAAGGTTGTGGCCCAAAGAGGCTATGACCTAGCCATGATCTGGAGGGTGGCCTGGCCCCCATGGACTGGCAGGGTCTGTAGGAGAGCAGACCTGGAGCCATCCTGGCTGGTGGCCCCTGCTCCTCTGTCCTGACCCCTCCCTGCTCTAGCAGGGGATGGACAGGAGAAACAAGGAGACAGCAGTGCCTTGGGGCCACTTGGGGTCCAGGAGCCACTTGGAGGGAGCCTGGGGGAGGGATAGGTGGCAGGGCCCAGAGAGCTGGCCCTTGGGTGGCCCTTGGTCACAGCAGTCTTTCCATGAAAGGGAGGCTCGGTGGCCCCAGTGCCAAGCTCTCCCCTCACTGCTGCTGTGTGTGGCTCTGGGTAGGGTGCAGTGGGCACAGCTGGTATTTCGCCATAAAGCAGTGCTGCTGCCCAGAGGAAATGCCAAGAGACTTGCAATCAGGTGGGGTGGGTGGCCCCCAGGGGACTGCACGTACTTATGGGAGGATCTCCAGTGGCTCCAGGTGGAGGTGGCCTAGCCCATAGGCCTGAGAGTGACAGGTGTGTGCCCTGCAGCTAGCCGGCTTTGCCACACCTTGGTTGCCTGGGGCGAAGCTTCCCTAGCGCCATCCTGGCCTCTGTGCATCCCACATGCCCTTCTTCTGCGTTGAGCCCTGTTCAGGAGACTCTGGCCTTCCATGCCTTCCCTGCCCTCGGCATCTGGTGCAGCCTTGAGGGGTGGGTGGTTTTCTTGCCAGCTTCTGCGCCTGCCCGGCTGCAACTCCTGGCTCTCGGGTGGCCTGGGGACCCTTGGTGGTGACTGCCTGGAGTGGTAGCAGGAGGCGCTCAATAAAGCTTTGTGGCCGTGAGTCATGTGTGCAGTGTGCACTTACTGAAGCCCGCATTGTCAGGAGGATTTCAAGCCACGTCGTCCCGCCCCTTTGCAGCCGTGAGCAGGGTAGGGCGTGTTGGCAGGCTGGTGCAGTGAGGGCATTCGGGACCTGTGCCTGGGCTGTGTCCCCTTCGGTCAGTCCATCCTTCTGGGCACTGGGCCCTCTTCCTCCAGAGGTGTGTTTACAGTTCTCTGGCTGGTGACTTCTCCCATCCACACAGCCCTTCTGGGGGCTCAACCTTGCAGGGCCGAGCAGGTGGCCACCTTGCAGGGTGGGGTGGGGTGGCCAAGGGCTCAGAGGTCTGGCTGGGCACAATGGCCACGCCTCCTGGAGTGTGGGACAGATGGGGAACACGAGGGCCTGCGCTGGGGGCGGGGGCTGGGCATCCTGGGAGCTGGGCCAGGAGAGCTTGTCGGCCCTGGGGCCTGGATGCGGCAGGGTGTTTGGCACTGCTTGGGGCTGGAGGAATCTGGGGCTCCTGGCCGAGGGGAGGCTGAGGTCTGGGAAGGAGGTGGAGCTCTGTGCCTGTGGGTGATCCTGGGCGTGGCCAGAGCGCGTTTCCTGTCCTTCCGCAGCTGCCACTCCTCCACTCCAGAAGGTCTCAGAGTTCCTGGGAGATGCTGCCCTGCTGATCCTGGGGTGGGGACACCCAGAAGGGGACAGAGGGCCCTGCCCAGGTCCCATCATGTCTTCATCTGTCCCCAGGATGGTCCTTTGCTGCCGCAGCTCCAGACCCTGCCCAAGTGGGCTCAGACAGAACTCTGACTTGCTCCTGACACAATGGAGAGCACAGCGGAGGCCTATAGACTCTGGTCTCCTGGGCCGTCCCCGCAGGTACGTCCTCATCAGTAGAGGGAAGCTTGGCCACTCATGGCAGCCGCACACCCTGGCCTGAGTCCTGGGCTTGGCTCGAGGCCACTGGGTCACTTCTTCCTTTCTGCCTCTGCAGACAGGGCAGTGGGGTCTGCCCATCAGCAGCTGTATGTCCCAAGACCCCCTTCATTTTCAACAGGCCCAACACAAGTGCATGTGCCACTTGAGCATGGCAGACCAGCAAGTGCATACATGTGTCTGTGCGTGTGCGCACTCCTGTGTGAGTGGTGTGTCTGTTCATACCAACCAGCCTTATTCCCTAGGAGAGGGCAGGCTCTTTCCTGCAAGTGTTGGAACCCTGGAAGATTTCACAGGTGAGATGAGAACATGGGACAGGGAGGAAAACGCACTTTTCGCTAGGGACCGAGGATGGTTTCGCGTCTGTGCAGCCGTCTTGCTGGGTTTAGGTCTTAGTGTCCACGAGAGAAAAGCAACCGAGTCGCAGTGTCCCATGCGAGACTGCCCAACTGTGCTGGTCTATGGAGACTGCCAGTCACTGCGGTGGGGAGAACAGAGGGGGCCCTTGGTTTAGGGATGGCTGCGGAGGGTGTGCCCAGCATGTGCTCTGTGCCT